ACTTCAATAAACTTGATTAAACACAGACACACGCATGCGTACACACACACACACACAGACACCCAAAAATAATCCTTTTCCTTCCAAAATGCCTTGCATTGATTCATCTCTCCTGATCCTCAGAATCATCGTCCTTGTTCAAGTTACTATGGTAGCTCCCGTGGACTATTGCACGTGCTCACTACTAGCCTCTTCCTTTTCATTCTGAACCACTCCCCAAACAAACAAACAAAAACTCTGTTCTCCATGAAGCAGCCAGTGTTCCTCTTTTTATTTATTTATTTTTTTTCAGACGGAGTCTCACTCTCTCTCCAGGCGGGAGTGCAGTGGCACAATCTCAGCTCACTGGCAACTTCCGCCTCCCGGGTTCAAGCAATTCTTCTGCCTCAGCCTATTGAGTAGCTGGAATTCAGGCATGCGCCACCAAGCCCAGCTGATTTTTGTATTTTTAGTAGAGATGGCGTTTCACCATGTTAGCCCAGGATGGCCTCCATCTCTTGACCTCGTGATCCTCCTGCCTCGACCTCCCAAAGTGCTGGGATTACAGGTGTGAGCCACCGGGCCTGGCCCCAAAGTTCTATTTTTAAAATATGGCAAAATCACATCCCTCCTTTGCATAAGTTATAAAATCTAAGTGCTTTCCAATATTCTGAGAATAAAATTCTCCCTAGCTTACAGAACCATCTGTGTCCCAGTACTTGGGTACCCTTCTGAGCCTATCTGATGTCACTCTCGCTCCAAAACCAGTTTGGAATTCCCCCAATACATTATTTCTTTTCCTCATCTGGTCAAGCAGAGACCCATCAGAGGGCCACTGCATGGGTCATTCAAATGGCATTTCAATGCTCTTTGCTTTCATCTAGATGTAGCTGCCTATCTATCATTCAGATATTTAATTATTACCCCTTCCAAAAAGCCTTTCCTGGCCACCCAGTCAAGAATGACTACTGGGTCTTTCAAATCCAGCAGACAGCCCATTACTATCTGACTTCTTTTGACTAATTATTAATTCATTAATTTTCTGGCCTACTAAGCTAAACTCCAAGCTCCATGAAAGTTACGGCTTTGATTAATACTTGATTATTTCTCTATCTTAGTGTTTAGATCAATGTCTGACATGTGTTAGGCATTCAATACATTGTTAAGTAAATAAGTGAGTGAATGAATACTTTAAGTGCAAAAATACATTTTCATTTAAAAACTAATCAAAGCAGCCGGCCGCGGTGGCTCATGCCTGTAATCTTAGCACTTTGGGTGGCTGAGGCGGGCAGATCATGAGGTCAGGAGATCAAGACTATTCTGGCTAACACGGTGAAACCCTGCCTTTACTAAAAATACAAAAAATTAGCCAGGTGTGGGGCCATACACCTGTATTCCCAGCTACTCGGGAGGCTGAGGCAGGGGAATCGCTTGAACTTAGGAAGCAAAGGTTGCAGTGAGCCAAGATCACACCATTGCACTCCAGCCTGGGTGACAGAGCAAGACTCTGACTCANAAAAAAAAAAAAAAAAAAGCTAAAAAAGCTAATCAAAGCATGCTGTCTTTACAAGAGCAAGTTTACTTAAAAACGATACCAAGAAGTAAACATCTGTTGTTACCAATTTTTTTGTATTATCCCTTATATTGCCCTGTTTATTTCTCTTCCTGTAACACTCATCACTCTTAACTCTATTTTCTATATATCTATTTGCTTAAACTCTGACTCCCCATACCAAAATGGAAGCTCTCCTAAGGAAGTGATTTTGTCTGTCTTTTTTCAATACTCAATGCGCAACCTTGGTGAGTGACTTGATCAGCAACACTCATACATTTGTGTTGAATGAGTGAAGCTATAAGGTACAGTTGAAAGTGACTGATTAGTTATCCTTAGTTTGCAATGAGGAAACAAAAGCACTCCTAGTTCAAAGAAATGGACCAAGTAATTTAAGTAAGCACTTGCAATTATGGATCTTTTTACATTCCTATAACTCAAATTCTCTTACAGCTTGGGGAAGCCATTGCAAATATTTTGCCTTAGTTTTTGCTCCTTGAAAAATGGGAATTAAATGAAATAAACCAATTAAAATTATCTTTTTAGAGCAAGCCCAGCTTGAGTTCAGTAATTACCACCAAGTGATTGTCATTCAGGGATAAGTTAAGCACAAAGAGGAAAGTAAGAACAATGGGAGAAAAAGAATCAGAGGGGTAATTTTTGTGCTGCTTAGGATAAGACTTCTCTTGTTTTGTTGAATTTGTTCATAAAAGCTCTAAAGTCTGGGGAAATGCTTCTGGGTAGCAAAGCAAAGAGTTTTGAAGCTTACAAGTCTAAGGAGAAATTAATAAAATGCAGTGGGGAAATTAAGTTGAACAAAAGTGCAATGAGGCATAGTTAAACTGATTAATTAAATAGGTTTTGATGGGTATATAACTGGGTTGCTGAAGAATTAAAAATCAAGCCAAGGTTTTAAATAAATGTTTGGTATTCAATAAAACACCAAATGGTAACATTCAGAAAACTCATGGTTTTTTTAGCAATGTTCTTAGATGAATTTCTTTCTCATTCATATGCCTCACCAACTCTCTTTTCCCCAGTAATCTTAAACTATGCTTTAAAAAATATGCAAAAGTCTTAGAATTTATTCAATTTTCCTCTCATTCTTCTAATGCCAGTTTCAAAACCATGATACTTTCTTGCGGCATCAACTAGGAAAGATTAATTTTTCAGTAATATGTCTACAATTTTTCAGAAAGCAATGAAAATTATCTTGCTTAATGCACCTGCAGCCTGGCAAGTGTTACGCAGAACAGGTGCCGAAAAAACAAGACCAAAAGCTGAGCATCACAGAGATGGAGGTTTGATTCCACACTTACTGCTTGAAGAGCTATTAGACCCTGCACAAGTAGCTTAGCTCCTAAAATGTCAGTTTCCTTCACTGTGAAAATGTTAAGTGTGGTATTTGAAAATTTCTTGGCTTAATGTCTGGCAGAGACACCTCTCAATAAATTGAAAGTATTAACAGCAGAAGGAGATTCCAACTTGCAGATATGTTTTGATTGTCAAAATTGCTTTTCTGGAACTTTAAACATACATTTCATCAAAAATTTATATTAAAAAGTGAAATGGTCAGTGCTAAGCAAATTTCTAGATGAATCTTCAAAGCCTTCATTTACCATAACACAATTTAAGTCAAAAATTATCCTAATTGTCTCCTAGTTAAGGTGGCCAAATGGTCCTTGTTTTTTTTTTTGTTTTTGTTTTTGTTTTTTCTGGACTTTCCTAGTTTTAGCACTGCAAGTCCCTCATCTTGGGAAACCCTTTGTGCCAGAGAAATTTAAGTATGATTCCTTCATTTGGGACCTAATCAATATTCATTTGTTCATCCTTTTTTTTTTTTTTTTTTTTTTTTCTCCTGCAGTCCCAGGTATGTTCTTAGGCTCTGGAGATATAAGGACAAATTGGATATGGTCTCTGCCTTTAATAAACTTAGAGCCTAGCAAAGAAGACAGACAAATGAACAAGCATCAGCAAGGCCTACTGAAATGCGAAGGATGGCAGTTTGCCCAGGATGCAGAGAAACACAGCCCATAGGCACCTCACGCAGACTTGGACAAGGTGATCACTGAAATGGATCTTGCTGAAATGCATCTTAAAGTAGGTATGCAGCCCAAACTGGTGCCTCCGATTTAGTTCCTTTGGACATTTTCCATTTCTCAGCTCAGAATCCCTTACATATACATATTAAAACGCCATCTCTTTAGATTCCCTTAGGTCATTATCTAAACAGATTTTGAATAACTTCTGATATGCACATAATCGTTATGAAAAACTTAGTAAAATATCAGTATAAATAACCATAAACCCTTGCTTTTATAGCAGTTTCTCCTACTTTGGATATATAACTAACTTAAAAATCTCCTTTTAAAAATGCAAACTGCCTGCTTGCTTTTTTATTATTTGGAATTCACTTCACAAAGGAAATTACTAGAATGCCCCATTAAATTGAAAACAATACAGATGTTATCATAAATATTGTTCTAGCCATAATACTGCAGTAGTTGCTCCAAGGTTAGTAAATTAAAAATGTTTCCCAAAGCTTGTGATAGAAATATTGGCATTTTACTTTCAAATTCTTCAATAAGTTTTAAAGTATTCCTAGAGCATGTCTTTATCATTATAGCAAATGCTACAGCAAGAAGATAATAAGACAGACCGCTCATACAACCGAAAACTCAGGTGTAACATATGCAAACTAACAGCATGATTATTTGGTTTTCCTCCTGGGGAAAGAGACATTTGTCATAGGCTGTGAAGGTGAGAAGAGGACTTATTCCTAGGCAGACTGTAAACTTCATAGGGGGCAGGGACCATGTCAATATTGTTTGCTGCTGTGTTCCCAGTACCCAGACCATAACTGATGCACAAAGTGGTTGAGAAAATACAAAACAAATTTGCAAGTCTTTGTCCTGTATTTCCAACAAATGATTATTCAGTCTCTGAAAAACTCTAGGAACTGAAAAATCATCTTTGCCACTTCTAAAAATCAGTAAACCTCCGTGACCCCAGTAAATTATGCAGCTTAAGTTTCAGGGTTGCTAGTTACAACATGAGGTCAAAACCATGTGTTCTATTTTTGTATTAGACTGTATCTCCAATCTTGACTAATAACCTTTGAGATGTTGCATAGGAATTTATTAAGAATGTTCATATGATTATTATAAACCACCCTTGCTATGAAAAGATATCTCACACCATGCTTTCTGTAGAATATGAATCAAAACTTTAGTTTACAGACTCACCAACTGCTCTATAATCATCATGTATTTTAAGTCCCACGGAAAATTATAAATATAGGTCAGATATTGGCCTTATTGACTATAAAGGCTCTTGGTCACTTTCATACACACAATATTGCTAATGCATACATATGCCATACAGTTGATATCCACTTCAAATTCAGTGGGAGAGTAGAAGCAGGAAGCCTTTTTAAGTTTTATTATTTTTATTATTATTATATTTTTACCTTTGAAGTTTACTACACCAACTGCAGTTGAAGCCAATCTGAGAAGACACACAGGGGCCACATCTGTTAAACTGGAGGCATGCTAGGAAATAGGAAAGTACAAATTCATCAAGACCAACAGGCAACTTGGGGGAAAAGAGATCGCTCAGCCAAAATAAACATCCCTGTCCCCCAATACTCAGGATCAAAATGCCCATGCATGCCAAACACAATTGTAATGGTAGTTATTTAATATCATTATTATAACTATTAAACAGATCAGATCATCAAATTTGCAAATCATATTTTCCACCTAGGTTTACATATTCACTTACTAGGTAATGGGGTCATCTCCACAGCCGAAATGTTGGTAATTTTTGACATTTGTAGCTCCACTCGGTGGTATTCATAAATTGTTCTTCTCCGAACATCTAGAAAAACAAAAATGGAAAGAAATTAACTTTTAACATTTCCCCACATACAAAACAACAGTATTTTAATAACAGACATAGAATTATATACATGTGGGCTGATGTGGTTTTAAAATTAAGCCTCACCCTGTGAGAAGACTGATTATAAAATATGTAAAAATCACATGCCAAGTAATCAGAAGTCTTTCTATTAATAAAGTTGAAAGTGTTGATCAGGTCTCAGATATCTCACTTACCTCTTAAGGCGCCAACTCATTGTCACTCAGCCTATACTACAGATTTTTTGAATAGATTTACATATTTTCAAAGATTTTCACTCATGAAATCAAGAAGGTAAGATAATACCATTTCTTCTATACTAAAGCTGAAGTGTTTAGAAATGGGTAATTAGAAATGTTTCACAATCTAAATAAAGTTAGTAGAGAATAACAATGTGATTGCTTTAAAAGTTTAGAATAAACTTCCTCAGCATGTGTATACCTATGTAACAAACCTGCATGTTCTGCACACGTACCCCAGAACTTAAAGTGTAATAAAAAAAAAAAAAAGTAAAACAGAAGTAAAATCATTCTTATATTTCCTGGTGATCATAGTTAATAATATTGTATTGTGTTTGAAATTAAATAATAGATTTTTTGGTGTTCTCACCACACACACACACAAATGTGAGATGATGAATGTGTTAATTAGCTTGATTGTGCAGAACATTTCAGCATGTATAAATATAACAAATCATCACCCTGTATATCTTAAATATATATGATTTTTATTTGTCAACTATATCTTCATAAAGCTGGAAGAAAAAAGGAACTTAAATCACTTTAAAAATAAGGATTGCAACGTATTAAATATACAGTATCATATCTAAGGAAGGTTAATTAGCATTTATATTGCACAATGTAGTTTATAAATCATTGGCAAATCCATCAATGTCCCTGAGGAAGAAGATAGATGGAGACTTTGACAAGAACTCTAATCATTTAAAATCAGATAAATATAAGCAAACACATTTTAACATCTAACCAGAACAAAATATGTACGTATACTTAAAATTTTCTTTTAAGCCTTATGCTAATGTGCTCACTTGGGTTTAGTCAGTGTAAGTGGAAAAATAAAGCTGTCAGAATTTTATTCCACTCTTGAAATGCCTATAGTGATAAGAATGCATTTTTGGAGTAATATCACATCTATAAGTAATTATTGAGGCTGTAAACTATTGTTATTTTTATTTTTGAGACAGGGTTTCCCTCTGTTGCCCAACCAGTGGTGCAATCACAGCTCAATGCATCCTGGACCTCCTGGGCTCAAGCGATCTTCCCACCTTAGTCTCCCAAGTAGCTGGGACTACAGGCATGTGCCACCATATCCACTTAAATTTTTTCTTATTTTTTGTAAAAACAGGGTCTGGCTATGTTGCTCAGGCTGGTCTTCAACTCCTAGGATCAAGTGATCCTCCAGCTTTGGCCTCCCAAAGAGCTGGGATTACAGGCATGTACCCTCTTGCCCAGTTAATTTGTTAAAACTTTTTTGGTAGAAACCGGGTCTTGCTATGTTGCCCAGGCTGATCTTGAACTCCTGGGCTCAAGAAATTCTACTACTTTTGTCTCCCAAAGTGCTGGGATTACAGGTGTGAGCCACTGCATCTGTCCATAAGAAGTTATTTTAAAAGTATCACAGTATCCAATTTGGAAAAGTAATGTCATAGTGGTTAACGATATGTGCTCTAGAACATTCTGTCTTGGTTCAAACCTCAGTTTTGCTATGAGAAATCTGTGTGACCTTGGGTTCCTTTGCCAGCTATTCTCTGTTTAAGTTTCCTTATTTATAAAATAGGGATAATAGTGCTTATATTACTACATTGCTTTGAGGATTAAAATGACATAGGAATATTGCTAGACAGTCGTTTTCACATTGAAAATGCTCAATACATATTAGATACAATTTTTGTCTAACTTTAATATGGCAACTTTAGATCATACAAGTTATATGCTGCATTTAATAATCTAATCCCAATAGATCTAAATGTACTGAAATCACGCTAAAATCCTGGAATGAAGCTTCTAGCAATTCTTCTCCATTCTCCACTTAAAGAAAGTTAAATTTATGATGAAATAATTAGACCCAACGATGACCTCCTCTAAAATTAGAGCAGGGAGTGTGGTGGCCCAGATGATAGTGAGTTGCCTTTTAGTGAAAGTGTTCAGAAAAGGAAGATACTTATTCATCAGAGAATTTGCAGAGGCTGTCAAACACTTACTTATAACCTATAAGTATCTCTCCTTTTTTCTACTCATATATTTTTATCTACTTCTAATTATTCACGATGAAATTCTGTTGCAGAATGGGTGGGGAAAGGATAGAAGCAAACCCTTTTGGGACTAAGAGTAGCTCTGGGTCACTGGCTAAAAATATCTTAGGGGTATCAGATTGGAACTGTTTAAGAACTCTGTTGAAATTAAGACTGTTTAAGAACTCTAACCGAATGATTTTTTTTTGTTTTTGGTGTAACTGAAAGATGCATATACATTCTTCAAAAAGTAAACTTCACAAAAAGTCAGAGAAAATGCCCAATTCGTGGTACATAGTAACATTTCATGAAGCAAATAAATCACATTTTTTCTTTTCTTTTTAGCTTTTAAAGAAAATAAAAAGATGGCTCCTCTTCTATCTGTGTCTAAATAGGATTCATTCCTTTCCCATGTACTTTGGTAAACAATTAAGTTCTTATAAATAAATAAATAATATGGCCTTTCCATAAGATCCCTAGGATGGGGGTCCTTGAGCCTTCATGCTAAAGTTTGCACACTGTCTGTCATATTAGTTGGTGATTAAAACACTAGTATTCCTTTTATTTCATATTATACTTTGAAATTCTCAACTACTGACAACAATTGAGAAGCTTCTGAGAGTTACTGATTGTGCATATGGGGTAAGGAGAGTGAACTTTTTTGCTATGCTAGATCTATTACCTGCTTAGAGACCTCTAACTATTGGGAGGAGATGAATTTAACAAAACCCAAATTAATGAGAATGATTTTTGTTTGATGACCCGCCAATTAATAACAGCTTCCAAATGGTCATTTATGTAGTATTTCAAAGATACCTCTGTCAGAAACAAGTAATTAGAATTCTGGTTGCCCCGCCAATGCCAGAAGCTTTCATTTGATTCCAGAAATATTTCGCTCATGTGTCTTCTTCAAGAATAAGCCAAAAGTCTTCATGATGGTAATTCAACTTCAATAGATCAATATTCATCCGTTAGTAGCTTTTAAAAAGTAAGAAAAATTAAATCTGAGCAGATTGACAGAGAGAAAGAAAATGTAGTTCAGTGATCAAAATCTGAAGGTGACGTGTTGCAAAGTGCAAATATTGCACGTTTTAGAAAGCCTGATTGGTATCAGCAGGAGGGACAATGTGATCATATGGAAACACCAAGAATCTTCTTTGATCAATATCCACTCTAGCTGAAGTGAACACAGACTAATGAGTATCTTGAGGTATGATTAGCCATGATCTAGTTGATTTTCCCATCTTGAAAGCTTAACATTCACATAGAGAATATATGAGGAATCTCCTAACTTGACTTACTCACATTGTATAAGTATTATAATACTTTGTCTGAATTGTCAAGTGAATGATTTGCTAAAATTTCCTTATTTATGTGTTGTCAGTGCTTAATGACTGGCTCTATATGGTTGTATCTTATTTATTTTCTAGTTGAAATCAAGTCCAGCAGAAGCACCGTTTATTGAGTACTCTTTAATGGAAATAGTCTGTATCGTACAACCACAACATTCATTTCCAGCATGAAGACTCAGGAAAAAAAGAGATTCTTGAGATAAAATTGACACTATTATAGTAGCTACAAGCTTCCCACAGAAAAGTGCAATGCATTAGCAGAATTAGCTAGTTGGAGTTGCTAAATAAATAGCTATGAATAAAAAATGCATTTGCCAAAATCATTTTAAAAAATTCTCTCTGTAGTTCTAATTTTCTGAAATAATAATTTATTATGCATTCAATAAAACACAAACCTTAGGTAAGCATCAAGTGCTAATATAAACCTTTTTCTGTCAACATTCCCTCACTCCTTGCAAAAAGTTTCAGGACATGGAAAAATCTAAATGGCCAGAGTTCCTAAATTACTTGAGTAAGCAGAAAGGAAATAAAAAATAGGACCTAAAACAACCTTCACACTTCTTTTTCTCCCACATATACTTTACTAATGGCTTAAACCATCTACATTTCCTGCCTTCCTTTGATAATTACTTTGCCCTAGACTTGAAATGTTCCCAAGACATTAACTGATGATAAACACTCAAGGTGATGGATACTCCAAATACGCTGATCTGATTACACAGTCTATGCATGTAACACACGCACATGTCCCGCATATGTAAAGTATTATGCACCAATAAAAGAAAAAAATTGAGGAAAAAAGAGAGAACCAGAACCAGTGGTGAGACAGTAAATGGTCCACACAGTGTTACAGTGGGCAAGTGTGGCAGGTGGAAATGCAGGCCTGTGACAATATCGTGGTTCCACTTGCTGAGGGCTGCTTGTCCCGAACCTGGTGTTTTAGCAGGGGGACGTGCCTCTCTACCCCCGAGACTCATGGGAAGAAGCCATGATACATATTTGCCAAGTCATGACATCTCTTTTCTTTTTTCTTTTTCACAAAGGAGATCGTGACTTCATTAAATTGAACTGGGTGTGTTGGGGCTCAGAAAACAATATCCCAAAATGAAAGCCTCAGAGGCAGCCTCTGAAGCAGATGTTTTTTCTTTTCTTTCTTTTTAAAATTTGTATAAATTTAAGGGGTACCAGTGAAGTTTTATTACATGGATGTATTGTGTAGCAGTGAAGTTTGTGCTTTTAGTGCTTCTGTCACCCAAATAGTGTACATTGTGCCCAATATGTACTTTCTCATCCCCAAACCCTCTACCTGTTCCCACCCTTCCAAGTCTCCAATGTCTTCATTCCAGGCTGGTCTGGAACTC